AGTGGAAAACTGCGCCTATCACTATGGATCACTATGGAAGGGTGGAAGGGAGTCGCGGTGTCACAATGATTACCTTCGGACCTATTTACCTTACCTGAGCCGACTCAATTCGCAATGTTCTACTCCCTGTTGGACCGTCGAAGGGAAAGATAGGCCCCACGTTCCATTTCTCTTTCCATTGTTCTGGATAATTACGGCGCAAGCCGAGATGAGTAAAAGGAAATCCGTTCCATTAACGTAAGCCATATAGCTGAAGTCGTAAAATCGCCCAGACCCATCAATCCTGCTTAGCCATTCCTACTCACGAGCACTTGGCCTTTTTCACCTGCGGACAGTGGAGCAGTGGTGGCGGCGGGTTCTTTTTTCTTCGGGTATTCCTTGTTTCTCATTGAACTTGCTAATGTTACAATTAGGAATACCTCCCAGCTTGGCAGTATTCCAACAGATAATGAACGAATAGTCCGCTTGTCAAAATCTTACATTTTTATCTCAAATCCTTCCTTCCGCAGTCTTTTTTTTTTGATTTTGTAGAGGCAATCGACACGCCACAGCTACTTCTGGCAGAATCAGACGGCCCATCATTGATCTGATGGGATAGGGTTCAATCTGAAGGAATTATCGATTAGCCAACACTTAGATAAGCCCTAAATGTAAATAACAAGTGGAATTGTCGAACCATTTGAATGTAATGCATAAACATCCGGTGACCTTCTGAATAGCCGATATTGACGTCAACTCTGACGTTTCATAGTATGAAATCAATTCTGTCTCTTCTGTCGGATTAGACGGCTCGTGTTTTAATCCACAGAGTACGGCTTTATACTTCCGATGGCTGTACTATGTGGCTAAGCTGATAACTCGGACACGAGCAGACGCGGCACAGTCGCGCGGCAGAGAGCGGCGAATCGTGTTCATGTATGTCGTTTGCCGCGTGACCGTGCCGCTTACCACGACGCGGCAGGTTCGCACTTGAACCTAACGTCCACTATTCCGTGCCAAATCCTTCCTCATCCTGTATTCGAGGATTTTTTACTTGAACTTTCTCTTCATTCATATTTTCCTTTGTTTACCACTCATGTGCGAATTAAAGCTGTGACGTAATGGGACTTCCTGATTGGCGATTGCTTTTCCCCTTAGGGTTTCACCTTCCAATTCGGATACGTCTTATTTCATAGAATAGACCACTTGAATTGGGGATGTCTACGTTCCAATGCATGCCCGAGTGTTCATGTTCCTATTCGAGGGCGAACGCCACTCTTTTTTTCATGACTTCCTTTTTACCCAAATCTAAGAAGGCTCCATGAAAAGAAAACGACGTCAAACAGTAAAACTATAACTACCTCATTAGGGAATGACCCCAGAAGCGCTCCTTTTGGGAGCCAACATTATCTGGGGTACTGGGTCCCGTCACTCAAAATCCTTTCCCAGTAATCTGGGTGGTTCGTTAGCCCCGTTAAACCCCTCTATAAATCATATTTTAGAAGTTTTGCACTGAGTTGGTTGTCAGGGCGTAATGAATTGGCCCCACTGATAATTGAGGAGGGGGGGGGGGGGGGGGGGGGTGGGAAGAACAGGGACTGAACCTTCCTCTGACACTACTGACGGCTCCGTTGGAACCCATACAACACTCCATTACTCACAGCATAGATCAAACAGATTCTTATAGATTAAATAGGCACTTTACCTGGAACATATCGCTCCCTATCACCGAAATTCTTCCCAAGTCAATCGTATAGTTCGTCTCCTCTGAGGAAACCACAGGGGTGGTCTGGGAAAGCATGGATGCCTCACGATGCAATGACCTAAGGGTTCATCCCCATACCACCTGTTCCTTCACCTCATCCCACTAGGTAAGGAAATGTGAGATGAGGTGGCGGAACAGCACTGACCAAACCTCCCGGCTGTTACTCCTACTGGGTCTGTTCTCGCTGGATCACATACAAACCGATGACCATTCCATTACTTACTCATTAAAGAAGCGCTTTCTCTAGGACCGATCATTTCCTGTCACCGAATTCCTTCCCATGTCAATTGTATAGTTCGTCTCCTCGGGAGAAACCACAGGGGTGGTCTGTGAAAGCCCATGGATGTCCCACGATATTTCTGGATGACCTAAGGGCTCAACCACAACTATGTCTCTGGTAAAGAAGTAAGATGAGGTGGAAGAACACCAGCAGTCGGACCCCCCAGCTGCTACTACTACTAGTCAGTTCTCGCTGCTGGATGACATACATCTAACACACATTAGCATCGCAAAGTCGTTTATTCCATCACATTAGTCGTTTGCCTCGGCGATCACATGCCTTCTCTTCGATTTCTATGCACCTCCATATATGTACGTGGATGACGCCGTTTCCTGGCATTCATGTTGCTGAGCTCTACGTTTTTGCTTCCTTCTTGAATAAATATTTCTTTAAAATGGTCGTTTATTAGGGAATGGATAACGAAGAAGATGCCTCTTGCTATATGGTCGAAGAGAGAGCTTTTGAATATGACTATGATGAAGGATTTGATTGGGAGAATATGACCGAAGCTCAATGTAATTGCTCCCATCCACTTCATAAATTCCTTCAGGCATGTTCTGTTTCAGTTTTACCCGAGCACTTCCTTTCTTTCCCACTGCCAGAGCCACCATTATGGGGATGAAACTTCGGGAAGGCAAACCACATCAATGGATCCACCCACGCGGTGGTTCTATTCATGCTAGCCAGTCGGCTGGCCTAATGAAGGCAATCCAATCATTTCGAATGAAAGAACTGTTTGTTTGGGGGTTTACCAAAAACAGCCGGACCCGCAGTAAACCTTTAAGGAACTCCTTTTTAGGATCCCTGTTGACATATTTTTGTTTATTTTTGTTTAGGTTTGCATAAATCGCTGTTTCGTCGCTCCAAACACATTGCTCTTTGGTTTAACAGAAGAAGAGGTCTTCGAAGCTGCACTTCCAGCCTTGCTATACCTCATTGTTTTTCTTGTCGGGACCGTCGGAAATGCTATGGTATGAAGTCAAGTGCTGATTAGCGGAATGCTGCTTTCTATTGGGAATTCGTTAGCTTCCAATCTAAGCTCTCAAGGATGACAAGCTTATCCCCTTTTTGGTAAGGAACTCCCATGGAATACTTTTTCCAGGTGATTTTCGTAGTGAACCGATTCAAACGGATGCGGAATGTAACGAACGTCTTTTTGGCATCATTAAGCACAGCTGATTTATGTCTTATATGGTTTTGTGTACCAATTATGGTAAGGACGTTTCAAAGTTACCGTATTTTTCCGAACTTTCCAAAAATATTTTAGTTTGTCAAATACATGTCTCATACGTGGTTTATGGGACGATTTGCCTGCTATTCAGTGCATTATATTCAACAATTCACCTGTATTTGCTCAGTACTCACAATGACGATGATCTCATTTGAGAGGTGAGGGTTTCCTGTAAGGAATCGCTACAATATTGCTTGGATACTGTATCTATATGTACCATTTCGTGTTACCTGTATTCCCCTACATAAAAGTTGATTGATGTACATAGTCAGTGATGAACCTGCCCTGAAAGCGCGAAATAAAGTCCCTAGGAATGCTCAACCGCGGTTTCAGAATGTTCCCCATGCATCCGGCTCAGAGCCAATATCGTTTTAGTGATTGGATGCGTCTTTGGGCAAAACATAACTTGTGGAAGCTAGCCGATGAACATATCAGTGCTTTTAGCCCTCATAAAAGTATAAACGAAACTGGAGGGAGACGACCAGCTCGGATAGCCTAAGTAGTTATCGGTACTCGGGATCAAACGACGGACTGAGGAATGAGTGGGTACGACTACCACTTCATCATTATCCCCTGTTTCGCGACCATTACTACACGTTTGCTGTTTACTTCTGCTTGTCCCAGTCGAGGGTGGGGTCTGCAAATTGATTGAAGCGAGCATTTTTCATTTCTGGAAAGCACCAATTCTCAAAGCAGGGATTTATTATTTCTAGAAAGCTCTGATTTGGATTAGATCGAGCTTTGGAATTAGTGAAATTTACATTCATCGAGATCTGTTTATCTGATAAATACAGAATGATATTTGGAGGAAAAACATTTTGATAAACATCGATTCCATCGGATTCGCTCAAGCTAACCAAGCCTTCCGTCCCTCCGGGGTTGGTTAATTAGTACCAAATCCGTCTGGGAGGATAAAAGTACTGACTTGTACAATGGCCGGCCACCGCAAGTCATTGTATAAGCCTTATACGCACCCATCATGCCACTGCGATTCTGGATGGGAGTCGAATGCGTGGGCGCATCTCCCAGACGGTTTGATTAACGTCCTAGGGCAAGACGTGGACTTAAACTAAATGGTGAATTGTGATTTTTACATCGGCCTTTGCTGCACAGAGTCGAACTGGAACTGGGGTTTCTTATCGAACTTATCGTGCATCCAGCGGCTCTCCTTGGAGTCTAGACGAGTAATCGAGCCCCTCCCAGAAAAACTCATCAATATTGAGCCCATCTATTCACCACTCAGTCTCATTATAGGAGATAATTGCAGATTCGTTGCTATTGCATATCCTATGAGGAATATGTGGTTATCGTCAATTGGCCGAGCAAAAAAGGTTTGTAAAACGTTCAATACCCTTTCCAATAATCTCCGTGAACCTCGTAATTCCAGGTGATACTGCTTATATGGCTTCTGTCGGCCATCCTGGCCATACCGACAGCTATACGAATCGATTACGAGACGAATATCTCCCTATCCGGCCAGCGNTACCGTATTTTTCCGAATTTTTCTAAGTAATATTCCAGTTTGTCAAATACATGTCTCATACGTGGTTTATGGGANAGATTTCCCAATGGATTTCTCGGGTATTCTCGAATAAAATTGAATCGAATCTATGCAGTGTATCAGGTAAGAGCCTCAGGAATCAGCTATTCTCCTGAGGGAACGGGAATGTACTCGTGGAATGTTCCAGATGTTACTTCTGATCGTCTTTCCCGTGGTAACGATGTCCATATGTTATGCTCGTGTTTCCGTCATCGTTTATACGTCATCGAAAAGCCGACTAGCGTTATCACAAGCTATGTGCGTCTCAGCTATTAAAGGCATCGTCCACGGGCAGTACAGTATCCCTGTGATCCTCATACTTCAGTAGGTTCACATATGTAAATCACAAAATCAGCCAAAAACGGAAACGCTCAGAATGGCCCAAAAGTGGTCCAAACAGGATCCTTCTATTCTAGCCAGTCGTGCTACTGCGTTATTCGGAATACCCAAGTACACATTGTCCAAGAGGATTCCGGACCACGCCCATGTCTAGAAGGGTTTGAAGGGAGGATTTCTCCATGGAACTTCCGTTCTGCTTGAAAAATCGTAAAAGACTGAAAGGCACCAATGCCCGTGGACGATGTCTTCGTCGAAATGACAACATTCTGACAATTCTGCTTCGTTCAGGGTTGCGTTCAGTAAAGCGGCAACCGATGCTGTTCACTTTTCTGGATACAGTACAATTCCAATGATTTCTACAAGTCGAGAATTGAAATCTGCTACGTCGACTATAAACGCATATACGAAGCATAAATCGGCTCGTGTAGCTGAAGCAAACAAAAAACAGGTACAGTCTTACTTACAACCACTGAATTGGACACTCTGGGCTTAACTATTTTGGTCTTTCAGATAGTTCAAATGCTCATTTCAATCGTCGTAATGTACACTGTATGCTGGTTACCGACAATCGGTAAGTCCACGTCGTTTTGTTGTTCTGAAAGGAAATTATTTTTCAATTTTCGCGATTAAATTATTTTTTGATTGCTTGGACGAAGACTAATTAGGTAGCTGGCTCTGCGTGAGTCGACCAGAATTCCATTTCTGCAAACTCCCATCGCCTTTCAAAAGGAATCACGTATTACGTTCCTATTTTTAGTTTTTCTTCTGAGCTGAGGAAGTTTAGATGTAGTGAAAGAACAATTCTTGAGACTCGCATCTCAGAGATCCGAACCCACTCAAATTACGGGCCTATAACTCTCTAGGGGTTGCTATGAGACATGTCTGTAAGGGAGCTTTTCTGGGCCTTGTATATCAACTAGGCTAGACAGCATGTTCGGGTAATCTATAGACATCGAAATTACTAGAATTAAGTTGAATGTATGGCGTATTCTAAGTGGGTAATTATCAATAGTACGGTATGTGTTGGCGCGATTTCCCAGCAGGACATCTCAGACCTACATACAGTACCCACCCTAATTATTCGAAAAAAAGGCGAAAAATGCAAATTCGCGTATTTTTCGTCTTTTCTTAGTAACTAGCTTAGTTTTCACTTTTTTGACATATAATGTTACATAGTTCTACTCAACTCGACGAGCTCTATACAACGGTATACCAAAAAAGTGAAAAAGTTGAAATTGGGAGTCCTCGGTCCATCAAAGTTCCTGGGGGCACGTCATTAGCAGTGACGCTCGCGATAATCTAATACAGAAAAAACATTTCTTCAAATTATAATCTTATTGTATTTAATCAGAATTGTACGCCATGTGGGGTTCAATGAAACGCTTTCCCTCCCGGGATTATCCGATAAGATCAAGGTGACGACCCCTTATCAGATCTTGAAATCGTTGGGGATGGACTTTTGCTAGTGTAATGTATAAGCGAAGTGCCCTAAAAACTCGGGGATTGAAGTTCGAGTCCTATCTGATACTGAATTTTTGTGCATGACCGAGCTCCTTTGTGGAGGACCAACACTTTCATGTTTCTCGGGCTAAATTGGGAGGTACCATGACAAAATGATGTCCTCGTGCCCTTGTTAGTAAAGAAGGGACCCTCAGATGCTGGTACTGGTGCTCATCCACAGCTGCTTGATGTCATCGGGAATATTCACTTTCAATTTACTCACTATAATAGACGATCGATAATTCCGTCCCATTATATGGCTTGACAATTATACATCGCTATTATTACTGTTATTTAATTCAATTTCCGGAAGTAATTATTTATATTTAAGTGCTTCCATTCTTCGAAAAATAATTTTCTATAAGTCGCAGTTTCCCACTCTCCTAGAAGGATTTCCTCTTGATGAAAAGTGCAAGCATTTTAAATACTAGCTAAAACAGCGTTTATAGTCCACCAAGTCCAGTTGATTACAATGTTTCCATGATAAGCCATATTAGGTTGTTCCTGTGAGGGAGTGCTTCATTTCCTGACACTGGATTGAGCTTTGGCCGAGATAATTTACCCAGATGTGACAAAATGCAATTAGCACACTGGGAGACCACTCTTTTCTCCCAGGTTTAATGTTTTTCATTTGGTAAAAGGAAGAATTGGGGATAACTTTTGGGGAGACAATGAGTAATTACTGTCACGCACGCTTCCGGAAGTTAATAAACGAGGGATTGCTCGGAGAAGATGGAGAAAAAGAGATGCACGTGAAGGGTTCAGTCATGGGACATATCAGGAAAAGGGGGTGGGGAGAGAGTGAAAAGCTGACCACCTCATGATTTTTTTATAGGAAAGAAAAAAGAGATGGATCAGGTGAACCTACGAAACCAGCTCAGCCCTAGTTGCAGACCAGTAATACCACAAAAAGCCGTTTGCTCTTTCCAAGGTTTAGTCCTAACACCAATTACCTGGTTCCGTCCATCATGCAACCCCAAATCGAGTTTTTTTTTAGCTTTTATCTGTCAATCATTTTAATCGGGGACATTTCAAAAGGCAGCTCCATTTTTGGCTCTGAAGATAGAACATTGAGACTAATTTCTAGAAAAAAGGAACCTAAAACCTACATGTTTGCTTCCCTACCGTATTCAGTTTTGTTTATTTAAAGAACAAAGGAAATATGGTGTG